AATTAGTACCATTAGTTATGTATGCTAGCAAAAATTATTATTATTATTATTATTATTATTATTATTATTATTATTATTATTACATTTACATCTTACAAAACTATAAGTAAATATAATTAAGCCTTTTGTACGAATACTCCCTTAATTTTAAAGGTGTGTCTTTTTTCACCCAAATTCAAAAAAAAGATTACAACTTAGATTCAAGTTTATGTTTTTTTTTGTAAACCTTGAGTTTGAGGTTTATTATTATTATTATTATTATTACATCTTACAAAACTATAAGTAAATATAATTAAGCCTTTTGTACGAATATTCCCTTAATTTTAAAGGTGTGTTTTTTTTCACCCAAACTCAAAACAAAGTTAAACTCAAGTTACAACTTAGATTTAAGTTTATGTTTTTTTTTGTAAACCTTGAGTTTGAGGTTTAAATCTAGGTTCAAGCCCTCCTTAAACTCAAGTTCCTACACTCAAACTCAAGTTAATGAATATTATTTTCAATATCCTTAAAAACGTTATAATTTTTTTGTTTTAACTCTTCTTGAGATGATTCTTTTTTCTATGCGTCAATAATGAAGAGACGAACAAAACCTAACCCATATACCCTATTAAAAATTTTCATCATCATTGAGTTTTTATTAAAATATTATCCAAATACAAACTCAAGTTTTAACCCACCCAAACACAAACTCAAATAAATTCTCAACTCAAACCATAACTCAAATGTGCACATCTAAATACAAACTCAAATTAGATTCTTAACTCAAACCATTACTCAAATACATCTTAACTCAAATCAAGATCTGAACTCAAGTCATCCTAACTCAAGTCATAAGTGCTTGGTAAATTAGTCACTCAACTTAATTTTAGCATTTTACCCATTAAATTTTTGAAATTTGTTGCATTATTAGTCAAAATAGAAAACAAACATAGTTTCTTCGACATAAACATTTAGTGAGGCTAATTCTAGTCTTTTTATATCGAATTGGTCACTATAAGGACATCATGAGTGAATTTTTTTTAAAATAAAAGATTAAACATTTTGTGGGAAAAAATTGAGGGTTCCTCAATTTTGAAAAGATTTTTTGCTCATGATGTGCATATGGAGACTAATTTGATACAAAAAGACTATTATTAGCCTTACTAAACATTCATGTGTAAGAAACCATCTAAAATTTTAGTTTCGTTTTCAGTTTGACTAACATTACAATGCATATCAAAGTTTCAAGGGCAAATTTAAAAGTTGAAGAAGCAATTTGTCAAACCTATAAAGTTGAGAAGATGTCCGAACAAAAAATTCATATAATTAAAATTACTTTTCTTAATTTCATTTTAATATTTACATGTTACATGTGAGTATAGATGAGTGTCACATGTGAGTATATATTCTATTGTAATTTTATATATAAATACAAATTTTCTTTGGTAAGGCTTTAATATTGGTAAGGTTAATTTTTTATAGTTAGATCTGATTAAAATAATATCATATTAAAAAAATATGTAAAACAAATAGTTTTTAATACAGATCTATCTAATAATTAAAAATAAAAAATTACAGATTCAATATAAATATATAAAAATTTTCTTTGATAGTCTCTATAAAAATAAATTATTAATAGTATTTTATTTTTCAACTATTAAATCTATATCTAAATCTATTTATTATATGTATTTTTTTAATTTAATATAATTTTAATTAAATTAAACGGTAAAAAATCATTTAAGAGATCAGGAAAACTGAAAAAGAAAACGAAAAAGAAAAAAATAATCAATGCTAAAGATGGGATGCATGCATGCATAAGATGGATGATGATGATGATGATGATGTGTCCTCCACTCTGTTTCGTCTTTCCAAGTCGCATCCCAACAAAATCGCTCTCTCTGTCCAACCACGCTCCTCTCTCTCTCTCTCTCTCTCTCTCTCCACTTTTCCCAGAATTTCTAGGGTTTTCACTTTACTCTCCAAAACCCCCACCCAACTCTCCCAATCAGCTTCACCTCTCGTAATCCCGTTAAACCCTCCAAAACCCCTTCACTTGCGTATCAATCTCTTCTTCGCATTTTGCTCATTTTCTTCCGAAATTCTCGCTCTATATATATATATATATATATATATCTATATATCGCTCTTCGTCACTAAGTCTGTAATAACTCAATCCATTCATGGCCAAGACCAAACCTGGGAAAAAGGACCTCGACTCTTACACTATCAAGGGCACCAACAAAGTCGTTAGACGTACTCTCTCTCTCGACCCCAAAACTCTCTCTCTGTTTTTTTTTTTGCCACAAATTTTGAATTTTGTAGTGTAAAAGCCCGATATTTTTGTTAATATTTATATTTCTGCTATGTATCCATTTGCATTGATTGCTGAAGATTTGAATTTTGGTGGGTAATTTTGCAGCCGGGGATTGTGTGTTGATGCGACCATCAGACTCCGATAAGCCTCCCTACGTGGCGCGCGTGGAGAAGATCGAGGCCGATCACCGGAACAACGTGAAGGTCCGCGTCCGGTGGTATTATCGCCCCGAGGAGTCGATCGGAGGGCGGAGACAGTTCCACGGCGCGAAAGAGCTCTTCTTATCGGACCACTACGATGTGCAGAGTGCCCACACCATAGAAGGCAAGTGTATAGTCCACTCCTTCAAGAACTACACCAAGCTTGAGAATGTGGGAGCTGAGGACTACTTCTGTAGGTTCGAGTACAAGGCTGCCACCGGTGGCTTCACCCCCGACCGCGTCGCCGTGTGAGTTTCTTTTGGTTTTATGCGTTTGAGTTGGTTCTGCGATTTTTGATTAGTTGGTGATTTTGAATTGGAATTGGATTTTGATTGCAGGTATTGTAAATGCGAGATGCCCTATAACCCGGACGACCTTATGGTGCAATGCGAGGGGTGCAAGGACTGGTAATTTAGTTTGTGTTTTCTATTTGTTATTTGCTCAATGATGATGGATTTGCATCGTGTTGGATTCTTTCAACGTTGGTTGGGTTCGATCGATAGTTGGATTTGACATTGTGTCTGTGGATTCTGCCTGCGGTGATTTGGACTATAGGCTTGCTTCAATAGTAAATTGTTTGAGTTTTTTATTCACCAGTTAAATTTGGTCGCTGTGCTTTTAATTCTAGTAGTATGTATCTTCTTTATTAGCTGATGAACCTTCTACCTAAAGTTATACTTCTTTAAGAAGAGAAGATAAATCACTCGTAGAGGATCTTAGGGTCTTACACATCATGTTTTAGGTGCAGAGTGTCTGCACTGGCTCGCTTTCAGCAGCTCTTAACAATTACTTTGTAAACAGTAAAATGTAATGTAGCTGGGAAGGGTGTTTGGTTCACAACTCAATTTAAGAACTTGAGTTGTGTTTGTGAGAGAAAAACACTGTAGCAAAAAAATGGAATTTAAATTTTTGTGAAAGAAAACACTGTAGCAATAAAACTTGAGTTGTGAAAAGAACAAGGTTGATTTTTTCTTCCCTTTTGCCCAGTCCTCGTTGCTTCCTCCATAGAGCATCCTTTTGGGAAGTAATGTGGCACATTTTTTGTTGTTAACTCTCTGTTTGACCTGATTAATGCTAAAAGCTATACTTTTGCCATAATAGGCTTGCAAAGTTACCTAGTGGTTTAATAGTTGGTGATATCTGAACAGAGGGTACTCTTGCAATTGTTTGGAAGATGGTTCCATGAGGTGAATATATTATAGTAATCACAAGCATGTCTTGGTTGACTAGTAGGGGACATCAATTACGCCATACCACTTTTATAGGTTCCACTTAATATGGATTGAAGGCAGCTACAAATTGATATTAATTTAACTTATTAAATAATGCTTTGCCTATTCATTTTCTGTTTAATTACATTGACTCCAGTACCAAATTCTCTAATTGAGTACTGAACCACGGCTGTTATGGCAAGTTGTTGAAAGTGAAACAAAGCATTCCACTTCCCATCTGGATGTTGTATGTAAGGGCATATAATTTCGTCCTTTTTTTTTTTTTTTTAAAATAACTTTGAATATGTTGTCTTGTGCTGTTAGATTATTTCTCATAAAGACTCTAGAAATGCTATTATGAAATTGAAAAGGTAATGAATGTTCTATCCAAGTGCCATGGTTGCCACGTTGATTTATTTTTATAAATTTGATGCGGGGTATTTTGTTGCATTTCTTGCTTGCTAAGGTAACGAGGTACAGAGGAAAAAACATGTCCCAAAAATGGTGTGCATTTCTAAAACAAAAGGCGGGGTTTAGTGCTTAAGATGTATGATGTGCATAATGTGGTTATATGAACTTGTATAATGTTATCCATCGATTTCAAAATTAAGCATTTTGCAGGTTTCATCCCTCTTGTATGGGTATGACCATTGAAGAGGCAAAGAAATTGGATCACTTTTTATGTTCTGATTGTTCATCAGACGACGATGCCAAAAGATCTTTGAATGCTTTCCCTGTATCGCCATCTGTTGAGACTAAGGTGAGAACTCTTTCACTTGCTCCCTTGTGTGTGGTTGCAGGGTTCTTTTTGTGGTGTTGTTGGAAATATTATGGTGAATGTGACCACTTTTCGCTGTTAGCAAGAGTTTATAATGCTGAAAATGCTCTGCCCCTTCAGTGAATGTGTATCAATTATCCCTCAGTGAATGTGTATCAATTAGTACATTAGTTTTCTTGTTTAGTAGAGAAATATCATGTTTTATCTTAATTAATTGTCATTGTCAGTCTCTTGATGCTATTAAATGGGCTCAAACATATCTAATTTATGCCTTTTCCTAATCTCTGATCATTGCAAAAGGAGTTATTTTAGCTTATGCATGCAAATATCAGCAAATAACACTTAATCAAACAGCTAGTCCTGGCCTAGTAAGGGTAACCACTAACCATAACCGATTGATAAGTGATAACCAGATTGATAACTGTTCTAAAATTATATTTCATTTGAGAACTTTCTTTTCTCAAGTGTAATGTTCCAAAATTTTTACCCCAGGTGGAGCCGAAGCGCAGGAAGAGATGAAATTTTTTCATTGGGCACAGCAAGGAGTATCTAGTTCATTGGCATTAGCGCCAGTGTTGTGTGTTTGTAATGTACAGTGCAGAGAAGATACTGTGCTTGCACAAACCAAAGGCCTTTTTTTTTTCTCCCTCTAATTTATCATGCTCAATGTTTGTATGTGTGCTAGATGTAGGAGATGACTTTGTGATCTGTGTTTCCCTTGCAAGTACTGTGCAAAAAGCACAATAATCTTGTTAAAAAGAGCACAGAAGAACACACGAAAACAAATCAAACTGAAATGATTTTGGAGGAAACAAACTTGGGATTTGATGTGATGTGGTTGTTGCTGGTGGATTACTACTGTATGCATGCCATTGTAACTGTTTTATAGACTCTCTCCCTTTTTTGTCTTCTTTTCTTGGCTGATAAAAAGGGTGTAGGGCTTGGGGTTGAGGGAGATGCAGCTTTATAATTTGTATTTTTTTCCTTTTAAAAAAAAATTATTCTTCACCATCAAGTCTTGAGGTACTACCTAATCAGTCAGTTCCGAGTCTGCCCGCTGAACTGATGATCGACTTGCTACAGAAGGATCCCTGTTGTGTTCATAGAAATTGCAGAAGTGATCATTGGACATTCATTAATTGGTTTTGGAAACTCTGGCCTTAATCTGTTCATTTTTCAGGTCATTTCTTTTGAGGAGCTGGCTTCAATGGAAGATTTGTGACCCTGCAACATTGGCCTGTCTTTTGAAGCTCATGTGGATTGTGTAGTAAAACTAGCAATAATAACAGCCATAGTAGTGGGTAGTGTAATATGTTGCATTTATAATCGTCCATTTGGTTATAGTTATCAGGTAATTTTACCTAAATGGCCTCATATCCAAAAAGTAAAAATGTCATAAATGGCTACAGTTTTTATTTTATTGTTTTTTTTTTAAATTTAATTGGCTGTTTCAGCACGTTGAATTTAGAGAATTCCTTTTCAGAATACAAATCTTTCTACTAATTTCCATACTCTTCTTCTTCCTCGCACTGTTTTCTCCTACCAAACACGCTCTTAGGTTCGGAAGAGTTTGAATTTGTCTATCAACTTCGTGAACATACAATGTGTGATCACTCTTTGATGAATCATACATTTCAATTCATGCCACAAACTGAAAACATTGGCGCCGTTACTGCAGGAGGGAAAGGAACGCCTTTATTTCTGTAGCTTCATCAAGGACGATAAATTGGAAAATCATTGTACATTTGACACTATTTTTACGTCTCACGTGTAAGTCTAAGTTTAACGTACATAAGCATGATTACATTAAGAAGAATTGTGTGGTAGGCTATGGAAAGAATACCCTGTTATTATTAGTAGAAATAATAATCATATTAAATGGATAATTTGTGATAGGTATTGAAAAGAATCCGATGACATGATACAGTTTTAAACCGTAAGATTATGTAATAATCAAATCGGTTTAAAAACATGTAATAATTAAATTAAATTTGATAAATTTAAGGATTAAAAGTTTTTATTTTACATTTATATCCTACCACAAAATTCATCATCTAATTAGCTGGTGGAGGTAAAAGAAGGAAAATATTTTTAAAAGCAGTTGGTAAAGTAGAGTTAATCTTTGGAATTTTAAAAAGTGAAATTTGACTCAATCCCATATCACCTGTGAACTGGCTTATAAAAAAATGTCACCTGTAAGCTGCCATGCTATAGGGGTTATTTTTTGACACAGTATCACGTGCTTCTCACTTATAAACATCAAGTGAGACATAAAAGTAATTTAAATGCTCATTCAGTTGTCCTCAGCAGCGGAAATATATTTTTATTTCCTTTTTCTTTTATGTATTTATAAATGGAAAAATGTTATCTTTATAGACTTATTAAGAAAACATTTCAAACTAAGAAAAAGTGTAAAACTATCTTTTTATAATAATCATTTTTTTTATTATTATTGACTTTCTTGATCATATATGTCCTTTTATTAGAATAGATCAACTTAAATAAAAAAAGAATAATATTGAACAAAAAAGAATTTTAATTTTATGTGGAATTTTAAGGATCAATTCTAAAAAAAAAAAAAAAAAAAAATCTAAAAATGCATTCATTTTCTTATATGTTACTGGAAGGTTAGTGCTCACAACAATTAATTATTGTTAAAAAAAATATAATTACATATTTTTAAAATATATATTTTTTCTTTTTAGTGCTAAAAATTAGCCCAAATAAAAATTATATGCAAAACATGCTTTTTAAATAACGAATATTGTGAGCTTGAAAAATTATGGTATAGCTTTTATCATTGATAATAATGTTTATATATACAATACAAGAATTTAAAATTTGAGTAGTTTGTAAGTCTTGTTCATTTCACAACTCAAATAATATTATTATAGTGTTTTTTTAACAAAAATTTAAATTTAATTTTTTACGACAATATTTTTTCTCTTATATATACAAGTCAAGTTCTTAAAAATATGAACAAAAATTCAAATTTTTTTAAAAAATATCAGATAAATTCCCTAATAATAAACGGAAAATTATTTTTTTTTCTTTCTCTAATAGTATTCCATATTCTAGTTTTGCTTCCATTTTCTATTTTCTTTCGTCAAAACTCAAAAAAAAAAAAAAAGAAAAAAAAAAGAAAAAAAAAGAAAAGGAAAGAAAAGGAGAAAAAAGATGAAAGTCAAGTCACGGTCGGAAGAGAAAGCAATATGGTTTGCACTTCGTGAAGAAGGGAGAGAATATAATAAGCGCTGCTGTGTATGGAAAAGGCATTTCCTTTTCTTCGCTTATTATTTTAAACTTCTCTCCTTTTGATATTTCCTCGTAGTTTTTAGTTCGGATTTCCTGGGGTTTTTCGCATTTTCTCGCGTTTTCTTTCACTTTCCCGTACCCCTAACATCACGTCCACAATGTAAGTTATAACTTAATACTCTCCTTTTTCAATTTCTCCAGAATTCACTCTCTCTTCCGCTCAATTTAAGTTACTCTTCGTTTCTGAAATTACAAGGCTTTTCATTGACAAGAGAAACAGCTAGAGTATTAGTGTACAGCTTCTGATTAGGGTTTTAGTTGCCTTGAACACAATTTCGCCCTCTGTAAAATGATTTGAGCAATATTTAGACGGTAGTAGAAGAATCAAGCTTGATATTTGTTGTCTTGAAATATTCAGGGTTTAGGATTAAAAAAGATAGTTTTGTAGATATGATCAAACAAATACTGGGTAAGATTCCTCGAAAACCCTCAAAATCAACTCAAGATGATTCGTACGGCGATGGAGGGGTCGACAATGGCTATTCTTCAGTGAACTCTTATAATGGGCCCAATTCGAGTAACGGCTTGAAACCCTCTTCGACTCAGTCGAAATCTTCGATTTCGGGTTTGGGCATTTCCCGCTCGAGTAATGGGACTATTGCTGGTGGGAACAAGTCGAATCAAGCGAAGAAATCGGCTGCCAGTGTAACCCAAGTGGATCCCTTGTTGGCTTCAGGGGGGTACGAGGCTTTGCCAAGTTTCCGAGATGTCCCAAGTTCAGAGAAGCAGAATCTGTTCATCAAGAAACTAAATATGTGCTGCGTGGTATTCAATTTTAGCGACCCCGTGAGCGATCTTAAAAAGAAGGATATCAAGAGGCAAACTTTGCTTGAGCTTGTGGATTACATTTCGTCAGTGAACTCCAAGTTCAATGAGGCGGTGATGCAAGAGATAACACAGATGGTGGCAGTCAATTTGTTTCGGATATTCCCATCTGCGAGTCATGAGAATAAGGTTCTCGAATCGTATGACTTGGAAGAAGAGGAACCGACCATGGAACCTGCCTGGCCACATATTCAGGTTGTGTATGAATTCCTGTTGAGATTTGTGGCTTCATCCGAGACCGATGCCAAGCTAGCCAAAAGATATGTGGACCACTCTTTTGTGTTGAGACTGTTGGACTTATTTGACTCTGAGGACCAAAGAGAGAGGGATTACTTGAAGACAATCCTCCACCGGATTTACGGGAAGTTCATGGTGCATCGGCCATTCATTAGGAAAGCTATCAACAATATCTTCTATCGTTTCATTTTCGAGACTGAAAAGCACAATGGGATTGCAGAGTTGCTCGAGATATTGGGAAGCATAATCAACGGGTTTGCTTTGCCTTTGAAGGAAGAGCACAAGTTGTTCCTTGTCCGTGCTTTGTTACCTCTTCATAAGCCGAAGTGTGTGTCAATGTACCATCAGCAGCTTTTGTATTGCATTACTCAATTTGTGGAGAAAGATGTCAAGCTTGCAGATACTGTTATTCGGGGTCTTTTAAAGTATTGGCCTGTAACTAATAGTTCAAAGGAGGTCATGTTCCTAACTGAATTGGAAGAAATTTTGGAAGCCACTCAGCCAGCCGAGTTTCAGCGCTGCATGGTCCCTCTATTTCGCCAAATTAGTCGTTGCCTCAATAGCTTTCATTTTCAGGTAGCAATTTATTTTTTATATATGCGTGAATTATTCCCATTTGTGTAACTATCATATCTCTTGTTTCTGGCTTTCCTTTTGCCCGTTCAGCATATTATGTATCTTTCAAAAGTTGCTAGGATGATTAGGTGTACATTTTACAATACCCTTGTTATTTTCATGACTTTAGCAGGGTAATTTTTTAAGAAATTTCTTCATGATATTGAAAGGGTCCATACCATTCATTTAAAACATTGGCATAAATTTAAAGCTTGTTTTGCTGGAGTAGTTGTGTTCTGTGTGTGGTAGAGAAATCGTCCCGTGGCCTCTTTTAGGTATGTATAAAAAGAGCGTAGGCCAACAGCACTATTATTTGAAGGTGGTGAGTGGAGGTCAAAACACGCTAAAAGCAACAAGGATGTCTGTCCTTGATAGATGCCGATAACCGCCAATCAAAAAAAGAAAATGATGATGAATTAGATTAGGATTATATTTATCTCCTTTTTAGAATAGGATTAGGATTCTCTATAAATAGATTAGTGATTGTTTTTTATTAATAGATATTGAGTTTTGAGTTTCCTCCTGTTCAGTTCTTATTCTTTCTCTATTTTTGCTTCTCTCGTGGTTTTTCTTCTCTATCCTGGTTCTATTTCTCCTCCTTGATTACATTCTCTCTCTAAATTTTCTCTATGTTCTTCAATTCTACCCGGTCCTACACCAGAAAAGGATTGAAAATTGTAGGGAATCCATGTTTACACTGCGAATATATGAGTAGCAGGCGATAGATAATATTTTGCTGTTTGTGGAAGAGTTGCATCATTCTTGTTACCTTTCTCTTTCTTCGCATGAAGGGGAACATAAAGACGTGAAATTTGATGTATACAGTGTGGAATATTCAATTGTCAGTTAAAATGTACTGAATGGGATTTTGTTTAATTTATTTTGCATGGCAGGTAGCTGAACGTACATTGTTTTTGTGGAACAATGATCACCTAAGAAATTTGATAATCCAGAACCGCCAAGTGATTCTGCCTATGGTCTTACCAGCTCTGGAGAGAAATACACGGAATCATTGGAATCAAGCTGTTCAGAGTTTGACATTGAATGTGAGAAAAATATTTTCAGATGCTGATCAAGCATTGTTTGATGAATACTTGGAGAGATTTCAAGAAGATGAAGTCAAGGATAGGGAAACACAGCAGAGGCGCGAATCAACCTGGAAGCGCTTGGAAGATGTGGCTGCCTCCAAGGCTGTAAGCAACGAAGCTGTTCTTGTCTTGAAATTTGCATCCTCTGTTGCCATTACTACCAGCCCAAAGGCACGAGCTTCTGCTGGTAGTTGAAATTCCCACCAGTTGAAAATTGTGAATTTTACCCTGATCAACTTTAACCAAAAGTGGTTGAATCTAGAAGCTGGTTTGTAGAGATCATACGGCCTCAATTCCCTCAAGTTCTTTACGACTCCTACGCTAAGAGGGAAATACTGAAATTTGAAGGTCGAGTTTTGTGGATATCATAACAATTGCATTGTTTTTGGGTTTTAGATTATGTTCCTCTTCAGCCATGGAGATGTGTATTATAAGGAATTTGCTTTACAGAGATATGTCCTTATAATATTTATTGTATAATGCAAGGAAAAATTATCATCTTGTATTTCTTTTTTGCCGTTGATTCAAGCGATATACTCCTATGGAATATTTAAAGTAATTCATCCCATGCTTGGGAAAATCTCGTGCATAATTGATTGTCATTTGAAGCAATAAAAAAGACAAAACTCATTAACTTGAAATTCTTTCGGATATGACCTTAAATGGTAAACTTACCACTACAATAAAACATATAGGTGGTCTTTTGCTTTGAGGGCAACACAGAAAACGAAATGTGAAATGGCAAAACTGATTCCTATCATATGTATGAAATCCTTCAGGAGCCTAATCATCACCATAAGCTCGGAAACTATAACGTTCTTGGTATGGACCATTGAAGTAGAGATCAGCCTCGAACCATTTGGGATACCGAATGAGATCTCCAGCCACAAACCGCATGTAACGCTTGCTTCCTTCAGGCACCACTCTCACTTCCCCTTCCTCAATGTAAACCAGCTGGTCCACCTGCCAATCCCACGGCAACGTGCACTTGCCGGTCTTCCACATCGACCATCTCGAAACCCCGAGCTCCGCCAGCCGCTCCGACGCCACTTTACGCTCCACCCTCACATTGTACAATTCCTCCAAAGGTTTCTCTATCCGCATCGCCTTTATACCGTAACGTACTCCATTTGGGGTGCTCGATTTTCTGCAATCCTTGCCGCTTGTATTAATAGAAAAGGAGCAGGAGCTGAAACTTGGGGCCAAGATTACTCTTGCCATATGCTTGTGTATATATATAAATATATATTCTGCCTCTGAGTCCTGAGAGCTTAACTGTTAAAAAAATTTACTTGGATTATAACGAATATAAATTGAACATCACAATCCACAGAGAACTACTGTAAGAAAAAGATTTATAGCAAAGTTCGCTCAATCTGGGTAACCACAAGAACAACTTAAATAAGCTGAAAATCAAACTTCTCGAGAATATAAAAGCGTTCTCAAATTTCATTGCAGACTTCTTCCAGATTGTCGCATCAGAAGTAACTTCTGAGACAAAGAGCAAAGATGACGGTTTTTATTTTTAAATCAGGAAGTGATTAAAATGTACTAAAAGGATTGGTTTGGGCGTTTGAGTGTGCCTGTCGGTGGAATTGCAGCACTTAGTGGTGATCAGTATCAAAATTACTAATAGGTTTCAATTTTCAAAAGCCCTATAAAAAATTTTAAGCAGAAAAAGCTAACATTTTTATGATTTTGAACAAGCTCTGAAAACCCTAATACCTTTTTGGTAGCCAAGAAACATAAAATTTTCCCCCCAATATGTGAATTCATCGCAAATGAAGAAATGCCATATCTTTTTTTCAATTAAAAAAAAAAAAGAGTACTTGTATAATCAGAGGAGACGGAAAAAAAAAGGTATGTGAGCGTGTTTACCAGGTGAACGTGGTAAAAAAAGCGTTCAGATGTTGTAAGAAGAAGAGCAACCCAGGGCACTGGATAAGCGCAGGCCAAGGAGGAAACAGAATGTGGATAAAGGGAGAAAGAGGCTTTTTCCGATATACGACTCTTCCCAACGTTATAAGGGTCAGCTTATATTCATTTACTCATTTATTTTTTCTTACATGTTTTTTCTTTTTTTTTTTTCTTTTAGAAAGTTTTGAAATGTTTTTTTTTTTTTTGAGAGAAGTTTTGAAATCTATAGATGAATGAAAATCTATAAATTAAAACTTAGGACTCGTTTAATTTATTGATTCGAGTTTTTAATTTAAATTTAGATGTAATTTTATGTGATAATTTTTTACTATAACAAAAAAAGTTAGATGTGACTTTATATGAAAATTTTTTACTATAGTAAAAAAAAATTATATGTAATTATTTATGAGAATTTTTTACTGAAAAAAACTTAAATTTTACATTCAAATCAATAAAATAAACAGAATCTTAAAGACACAAATTTCGTCGAGATAAAAGATTTTTTTTTTCACTTTTTATAAAAGAGAATTTTTTTCGAAAAAGAAAAACAGTACTATAATGGTAGCTTTTTGGGTCAACTTTCATTTTCTTTTTGGACCCCAAATATTTTTTTCAACAATACTAAAAAGAGATTTCATAAATAACATAATTTAAACTATTTTTTAAAATAATTAAAATAATTATTTAAAATATAAAAATATTGATCTAAATTATAATAAATTTTAAATAATTAATTAAAAATTTAATAATAGTTGATAAAATTAATTTTTTATAATGCCATCTTATTAAATTTTTATATTTAATTTTAGAGATTTTTTTAGTGTTTTTTCTTAAAAAATATTTCAGTCATCAATTATGTATCAATCTATTTTTTATTTTTTAATTTAATGTAATTTTAATTAAATTTAACGATTAAAAATTCGTCCGCATATAATACGTGTGTGTATGTGTGTATATGTATATATATGCTGAGTTTGCTTTTTCGCTTCTCTTTTAAAGACAATTCTCGGGTGGTTAACGTGTCCAGTTGTGGTACGCATAACCATTTGAGACTTCAGAAGTCTTGCCATACACTGAGAACCAAAATCAGACAAACAGAAAAGAAGCCGAGGAAAGAATCAGCCAAAGCTACATATGGCGTTGCTTCAGCTCCAGTGCAGTAATGGGGCATTCTTAAAATATCCAAAACTATATCCCCTGCCTCATGGAAGAGCATACAGACCTTCCAGAAGCCTGTGCTTCAAAATGCAGGCATTTCCCTCTAGGACCCAGGTTACAATTTACCTCAAATCTCAACATATATGAATTTTTTTTCTCTCTTCTTAATTTGCCATTATATTTGTTGTTGAAAAGTTGTATATGTAAAACTTTTTTGGTTATTGTGGTAGAGAATAATGGAGAACATTTCAGTTAGTGGGGAAGTTGGTGGGGCTGGTGGAGCCTACTCTTATAGTGCCTTGAAGAGGTTGGACCAACTTTGGTCTTCTATTTGTGCTGCTCAAACAGGTCTGACTAAATCTGTTTTCTTAATCTGATTTTCTTCAAACCCTTTTATTTATGTGTTTCTGATGATTTTCATGTGGGATTTTTAGCTGTGCAAGAACCCCAGAAAGTGGTTTCCACTATGCCCGGTTCATTTCTTGATTCTGATGTTGCTGAGAAGGCTCTAGATAAATTTGATGTGATTGTTTGTGGAGGGACCTTGGGAATCTTCATCGCCACGGCCTTGTGTTCCAAAGGTCTCCGAGTAGCCATTGTTGAGAGAAATATTCTAAAAGGGGTAATGTAATATAAATACATAAATAAATGTGAAGATCATTCGAGAATAAAATTTTTGGCTGATGGAATTGGTTTGTGAAATGATGTCATTGATGTTTTGATGATCAATGATCAGAGGGAGCAAGAATGGAACATCTCAAGAAAAGAGCTTTTGGAACTCGTAAAAGTTGGAATTTTAGGTGAAGATGACATTGAACAAGTTACTGCAGTGAAATTTAATCCTGTAAGTCCTTGGCATTCAAAAACTGATTCCTTTTTTTCTAAATTCAGCAAAATTAATTTACTTTGAGCCGTGTTAGTTTGGTGGAACGTTTAGTATAAAATGCGTTATTATAGGGGACTTTTCTTCTCCCTGACCATGCTAAAGACTAGCACTAAAAATTCTTTCTTGTCTTACCTACAGTATAAAAGATATCCTACTTATGTTTGAGACTTATTTGTCATTACATGGACTGCACAGAACAGATGCGGATTTGGTGGGAAGGGTGAGATCTGGGTTGAAGACATCCTTAATCTTGGCATATCGTGAGTTATCTTTTGTTCTTGTACATTTGTTTCACTTTATGGTATCAAAGCAGAAAGTAGTACAGAAACTTTTTTGTGAACTTTGATTTGATCTACTTTTTTTAACATACTAAAATCAAGACGATTGATATACATCCATTATTCAAAGGCATTCAATACCGTAATAGGGAGTGTAGGTTAAATTATCCTCTTTCAAGTAATGAAAAATTGATGGTGATTTTAATTTTCTTGGCCAATGGCAAGAAGCACTGCCTCGAAAGTTCAACTCGTCACTCAATTTTACATTTTTCTCTATTTGCAGACCTGCAAAGCTTATAGAGATTATGAAGAATCGTTTCGTTTCCCTAGGTGGAGTCATCTTTGAGGGTAGCAGTTTTTCCAGCATTCGCATATATGAGGACGCAGTCGTGAGTTTCTAACACTTTCAAAGACTTCATTCAGATGCCATCATTATATTTGAGAAGTTAGATTAAAAACTCTTCCTCTTAACAGTAGATTGCAAAGAGACAATACTCTACCTTAGCTTTAAGGATGCTCTTTCCAATTGTTTTTCGGTTTTAAGCTTCAATGAGAGTGAAGCGGGAAATAAAAGAAGAAAGGGTAGGTGGAGACAGTATCTACCAAGGTTAAGCTGTGACATTGCTGGGATGTCATGTCATGATATGTTTATGAGCTTTTTGTGTAATGGGATATGTGTGATGGGAGAAAAAGAAAGCTAAAAAGCAATCAACAAGAAATGATGAGTTTTGGAAGTGAAGTTGCAAAATTGGGCATGGTTTGTACATGGGTATAGGCACGCCAACTATGTTAGCAATGTGTCCTAGTTATTGTTTGACTAAAATTTTTAGTATGATGCTCAGTAACTATGAGCATATTTAGGGTGTGGGTTTTTCAGGACTCCAATTTTCTTGCTAAAGAATTAGAAAATGGATTTTTACACGTTTCAATCTTCAGATTTTTTATGGTTAGTCAAATGTTGAATAACTTAAATGCTCTTTGATCACTTTTCACAACAGGTCACACTACTTGCTGACGGGAAAATTTTGTCTTCTCGCCTCATAATTGATGCAATGGGGAACTTTTCACCCATTGTAAAGCAGGTAAGCCTGGTGTTTCATGCACAATTTATAATGTATGTGTATTCTTCCTAGCTATCCACCCTTAATATCCAGAAACAATATTCAAAGATATGATTTATATCATTACGTCCAATGAATATGGTTATCCTTTTTAACCGAATTTTCAACCCATTGGGGTACGTGAACTGACGGAGCACGCATATGTAACATTCTGTATAATTTGCAGATAAGATCCGGAAGGAAGCCAGATGGTGTCTGCCTTGTCGTTGGCTCTTGTGCTCGTGGCTTTTCTGATAATTCTACAAGTGATGTTATATATAGTAGTTCATCAGTGAGGAAGATTGGAAAATCAAAAGTCCAATGCTTTTGGGAGGTTAGTACATGAAAAAGAAAAAAGACGAGAAAAACAACAGCATCCCCTCCCCAGACCCTGCTTTTTATTTGAATATCAGGATGTTCTGAACAGTAAACATTTGTGCAGGCATTTCCCGCGGGTTCAGGTCCTACAGATCGTACCACTTACATGTTCACTTATGTTGATCCCCAACCCGGATCACCAACATTGGAAGAATTACTAGAAGAATACTGGGATCTAATGCAGGATTATCAGGTCAGCTCAGTTTGCGTACTGCAGTTCAACTGCTCTAGTTGCATTGGAATTTCTTTCTTTTCCACATTGGTCGTCCTTGTCAATTTTGAAGGAACTTTGAATTGCGACAACTAGAGTTCCTTCTTCCAACCTCTTTTTAATGTCCACGCATTGGTTGATTGCTCATATGCACGGTTTTATAGGGAGTCTCTCTTGACAATCTTGAGATTCTGCGCGTCATATATGGAATTTTCCCCACATACCGTGACAGGTGACTTAGTTGTAACCAATTTATGGATCTTTTAGTTGTAGTCGGTAGAAATTGTGTATCCAAAATGTGTTCTATGAATCTGACATGTTTCAACTCTTAACGCGGGATCTTCAACTTCGGCAGCCCATTGCCAGCGGCTTTTAACCGTGTTTTACAGGTGGTATATATATTACTACATTTCTAAAGCCTCTAAATAGATTATGCTCACATGCCAAAAAGGAATACAAAAGTGTTACAAACCCATTCTCTGCAGTTTGGTGACGCCAGTGGCATACAGTCACCTGTTTCATTCGGTGGTTTTGGGAGCTTGACAAGGCACCTTGAGAGACTTTCAAGTGGTATAATATATTCATATGTACACTTTATCTCTGTGATTTTTGAGGTGTAAATGATACCTATTACTCTTTTGGAATCTTAGACAGTGAATGATGCCTTTTTTCTTGTTCTACCTTTAAACTAGTAATGTTAAAATTACTGGAGAAAAAGAGCTAACCATTTTGATTGGAATTTTTCTTCTTCTTTTGCCTTGAAACAAAGGTATATATGAAGCAATCAGCGGCAACTTGCTTGACTCGTGCAACTTGTCCCTGCTTAATCCATACATGGTTTGTGACTTGTTTTCTGAGCTAGTCCAAAATCCGTTTATTTTTATTTTTACTTTTTTTATCTCTCAAAACACTTTTAAAATTCATATTATGAAATGAATATTGTAGCCCAACTTAAGTGCTTCCTGGTTGTTCCAAAGAGCAATGTCAGCAAAGCAAGAGTCTAATGTTCCACCAGATTTTATTAATGAGCTCCTTTATGCCAATTTTGGGAGTATGCAGGTAAACTCATATGTTTTGATCTCTCTCTTTCTCTCTCTCTCTCTCTCTAATAAATGGCATGTTACTATGTTAGTTTATCTTTTTCCTGTCTCCTGATCTCTTACTGATTTTATTCTTCAGAGGCTGGGCGATCCAGACCTAAGACCATTCCTTCAGGTTAATTTCTCTCTGTGTATCATTTGATGATAGCTCCACCAATTCCAATTGTTCAGTTAGTTGAATTATGTGGCACCATCATCATTTTTTTTTTAAAGTTTTCTTTGGAAAATCACAAATCACTTTGTTATGAAACTAAATTTCCTTCAAAAGTTTGGTTCTTTGGCAGGATGTTGTACAGTTTGGGCCTCTTGCCAAGACACTAGGCCTAGTTATGATAACCAAACCTCAAATTCTTCCATCAATATTTGCACAGGTAATTAATAAGTTTAGGAGTTACATGCAATGCTTTTTCAAGCGTTAGATGATAGTCAAAAAAGATTTGGACCGTTGAAATTTTTTGCCGTCGGTTCCCACATGATGAAAGCAGCTCATATTTCAACGGCCCAGATTGATTACCGTATCACCAGAAGAGATTGGTTGTACCGTAGTTGTGGCCGTTACTTGTTTATTATCTTTCTAAATTTTATCTAATTTTCATGACTAGAGCATCTATCCTCAACAATACTACACGATGTCTCTATTTCTCTGCATGATATTTTTACAGAAAAAACTGCCCTATTTTATCCAATAAAAATGTACTTCTAATTTATTTTTGTCTACATAAATACTAAAATCTAAAAGCACTATATATGGGATGGGATTATTTATTCGAGAAAATTGCTAATTGAGGTACAGATGAACAAAGTGATTTTGATCATTCTCTAAGTAGATTACTAATGGGGTAACTTTTGTGGTTGTTTCTTTTTGTGTTTCAGGTTGGTTTTCCTGTAATTGTTGACTGGTCTGGACATTTTGCCATGCTAGGTTTCTATACTCTTCTGTCATCCTTTACAGGCCCTCTTATAAGGTAATTACTTTTCCATGATCATGTTTTTGTCTTTACATTTTAACAAAGCACGATTAAGAAAGGAACATGGCAGGTTAATCACAACTATACGACTAATTAAATACAATGTTTTTGAAGCAATTAGGACATTATTATGTGCATCTCATTTGTTGCATATATTTGCAAGGCCATTGTTAAGTGTACTTCCACCAGAGTTGAGATATCAGTGGAAGCGACGTCTTGAGGCTTGGAAATATGGAGCTGGTTTAGACTATGAGCTATGAAGATCATTCAAAACGACCAACATATTCATCCCAAAAAAAAAAAAAAAAAAAAAAAAAAACATATCGGTTACCAACTGCAGTCTTATTATTTACTCTGCAGTTTCTTGGATGGAGGGTTGGTTCAAGAAGTATTTACCAAAACGTGTTGCATTAATCGGTTATTATGTTCTATTCTTTCAAGCATACAACTGCCTATCCACGTTTTCTTTTCTTTTCGTTTTGATAGAGCCAATTTTTTTGCAATACAGTTGCTCTGATAAACATTAAAGTGAAGATTATATAGTATATTTACTTAATATATTTTTTTTCAATTTTTCATATGCGTGTGATTTTAGTTGTTACTCTAATATTTACCCATCAATAAGTATTATTGTTTTAGCCATAAGATATTGATCTGAATGTTATAATAAATTGAATAGTTTATCATAAAAATTAATGCAATTAATGAGATTAAATTCTTATATGATATATTAAATAGAGAATTCGTAGATATAGAAAATCACCATAAAAAAATAACCATTGAAACTCGTCCATATAAAGCGAAGTTGCCATCAAGTATGGTTAGAGAAATAATGTGCGTGTTTGGAACCGTGTTTAAAAATGATTTTCACGTATTTTGAGAAATAAAAAATGAAAATGAAAATGAAACGACGTTTGTTTAGTAAATGTTTTGAAAACGAAAATGAAAAGGAAAACAATGAGAATGATTTTTGTGAAAGAATTAGAAAATAGTTGAAAGTCGTTTGCACTTTTCTGTTTTCATTTTTTACTACTTATCAATAATATTATAATATATTAATTAATAAACACGATTTCACTTTTTTATTATACTCAAAACAATCTCTTAAAAAATTAACCAAACGCAATTTCAGAATCGGTCTCAGAATGATTCTCAAAACAATCTCATTTTTACTTTTTATTACAAACAAAATTATTTTAAAACCAATTTCAAATACACCTAATGTCTCCCTTCCTTATTTCCAGGACTGTTAGGTCAGACAATCTCAATATCTTTGGAAACATTTCAATTATATACATTAAAATTTTTGTTGTTATACCATTGGAGCTTTGAATCGAATTTTAAGGTCTCATCAGAATAGGATTTTGCCATGTCAACTGGAAGCAACAAGTTAAATCCCCCCCCCCAAAAAAAAAAAAAAAAAGTTTAATCCAGTAGTCACTATTAGCACATACAAATACAAAATGGAGTTCTCCCCTTCAAAAAAATAAAAAATAAAAATAAATGAAGAAAGAAAATTGTAATACCTGAGATTTAATTAAACTTTAAGTCAATAATAAATAAATTTAGTAAATTAAAATCATGCACCACATTTACCATTTATCTCAAAGTTATTTGTTGGCATTATATTTTATTATTATAGTTATCATATTATTTTATTAAACTTATAGCTTTGCTAATCAAGTTTTTAATTTTAATGTGCAGTGCAACTAACTCGATGTGGGAACTCAATATGCTAAACTTATAAAAAAAAATTATATTTATTATGATTATTTGATATGATATTTTACCTCTATTATGATTGATTTAATGATGAATTATTATTTTATATTTTTATTATATGATTTTATGTAAATGTGTTGAGGACTTAGTTGCTGAGAATGCTATGTTAGCAAATTGAGTGAACTTTAGGCACCTAATTGAAGAAGAAAAATAGAGACTTTAGAGCTGATTTTATGAGGTTATGACAGCTGTTAGAGGTTTAGAAAAACTTAGACACTTGTCTTACTATAAGGCCACTTTACTTTTGCTTGGTTTGTATCATGTTTAGACTTCATTTTTGGGTCTATTTCAGCAAAAAAAGCCTAAAACTCCGACCATAACATTTTCTTCCCTCTTCTCACTCCTTTTCTCACCCAAAACTCAGAATCAACCTATGTTTTCAAGAGAGAATAAGCTAAAAACTCAACCAGCCCATTTTAACTCGTTTTTCAACCTAGAACCAAAAATAACCATCAAGGTTTTGAGCTTCTATTCACTTGGGAACAAGTTTTTCTTTGAGGTAACTTTTTTCTTATGTTAGAAATTCAGATTTCAGAGATTAAGATGTAGAAATCCTACTTGAGATTCAGATTTTTGATGTGGCTTATCATGCATGTTGGTTGTAGATCCTTAAAAATGAGTTTCTTGAGGTTTTGGTTCAAATATTGATTTATGGGTGAAATTTATGATTTTAGCTTGATATTATTCATGATTATTTGAAGATAAACTCTTATTAGGATAATGATTCATGTATTTGAGAGTGGGTCTTTGAAGATTAACATATGCATACTAGGTATTTGATGAAATGTTCAAATATAAGTCCTATGTACAGCTTATATAGATTATATTTTCGTGCTATACATATTTATGATTTTGACTGATCTTATATTTTTCTATTAAATTATACATCTCAAGCTTTACGTGAGTTTTTGAATCACTCTAAACGGATTTTTTTACATTTAGTTATGAATTTTATAAGTTCAACTAAAACATTATCATTTTCTTGACAAGATTATACTTCAATCCGGATTTCAAACTGTTTTTGGTTAGTTTGAAAAATCTGAAACCTATCATGTAGTAGCTCTAAAAAGAGGGTTTTGAGTCTACTTTTATTTGCCACTGGTCTCATAATATTTTGAGTTTTGATGAATTTGTTATGAATATTTTCGTAATAATGCGCAATTATCTGTGTTTTGTTAAATGATGATATGAATGTGATTTTCGAAAGCTATGGTTTTTAAAGGTTAATTAGCACATTGAAAGCTCCCTACAACTAGCTAGTTTGTGCTTCTAAAGTGGTGATTGAAATCTAATTGAGTAGAGTTAAAGCATTTTTAAAACTGCATCACAAGACCAATTTGACGAAATAACTTGTTCATAATGGTAATTACGCAAGTTTATTCTCCTATAAAATTCATATACGATTATGTTCAAAGAGTATTCATGATTAATTATTTTGAAAGAGATTATGATATTTGCTTATTATGTTTTTATATTTTAAGAGATTTTATGGTATGATATATGGATGAGAGGCTAGATAAGTATGGGGGTGAGAGACTGGTGCCCCAAATTAGAGTAACTGTCTCTTTGAGACAACTAGAGAAAAATGCTAGTGGGAAGTCTCTCGTTGATCACAAGAGAAAGATATTCTAAAAACCCCGCTTAGTCTTTAAAAGAAGAGAATTTGCCAAAATTAGAGAATGTCCTGTATAGAGAGGCTTACTTGGAACCGAAGTTCTGTATCATACCTAAACTAAGAATAAGTATGAAAGTTTATGAACAATGTTTAACAAAGAGAATTCAGCCATGGAGATTTTAGATACTTACTTTATTTGAAATTTACTTACTGAGTTTTTGCTAATTAGTTTTACCTTATGATGCAGATGATGTTGTTGTTATTGAAAAGTAAAAACTGATTTTCAAAGTTGGCTGAGTACTCCATGTCTTACATCTCGCATCTTGCTTATATGTACTTCTAAACAATAGATGGGCCCAAAATATTTTTTTTGTTACTATGTCTATTTTGAATAACTGTTTAATGTTTAAAATTTGTGGTTGTAATTATTTTGCGCACTGATTGTAATCATTTTACGCACTGACTCATTTTGTTCAAAAATATTTATGAAAATCTTGTGATAAAATCAACCATAAGTTTCCGCATCTTAAAAATGACATTGTTTTAAGTATAAAAAGTATGTTTTAAGTAGCACCACCTCGCTAAATTCGGCCTTAGACCGATTTAGCATTGGGGGCGTTACAGTTTTGGTATCAGAGCTTAGTGTTTAATGTTTCTGAAGACATCAAAGTACATATAGACAAGTGGTTGAATAAAAAACTCAGCCAATCAATAATGTTTATGATTTCCAATGTATAGAATAATATCTTTATGTTTTATATTGCATTTACATTGAAGTATATTTATTATTATTGGCTTAAACCTAAAGGTTAGAAATAGGTGCAATAGAATGCCTCCTAAAAGATATGCTAGAGATCCCCCGAACGTCGACATAGCTCAAATGTTTGCTGGATTAACTGCATTAATTCAGCAACAGGCTGATCAACAGAGACAACAAAATGAGTGTACGACACAACAAATGCAAATGTAAGCTCAATAGTTACATAAACAAACAGAGCAGTTTCATAACAAGATGACACAACAAGGAGCCCAACATGTAAATCAGCCTCCACCTCCCCCTCGACAGCAAAGACAAGATAATTTGGAACTTCTTTATGAACGTTTTAGGAAGCAGCGTCCTGATGATTTCCATGGTAGACATGATCCACAAATTGTTGAAGAGTGGATCAATTCTATAGAAAGTATCTTTGACTACATGGTTATGGAAGATGCTCAATGAGTTTCATGTGCTATTCAATTGCTAAAGAATAATGTTAGGTATTGGTGGTCATCTATTAAGTTGACTCGAGCTGCTACCAACCTTACTTGGAATGGTTTCAAAGAACTGTTTTACAACAAGTACTTCACTGAGGAAGTAAAGAAAAGTAAAGTGGCTGAGTTTGTGAGATTAGCACAGGGTACCATGACTGTTGATGACTATGTAACTAAATTTGAAGGACTTTCAAGATTTGTTCCATGGATAGTAGGTAATGACATAGAAAAGATGAACTTCTTCATTAAGGGTTTGAAAGCAGCTATCCACAAGGATGTGAGCATATCGAGGCCTCAGTCGTTCAGCGAAACAGTTGAACTGACTATGATATTTGAGAAGGGTATTAAGATACAAGAATTGAAGAATAAAACTACTTATGCCGCTAAGAATGGCCAGTGGAAACCAGGAAGAATTGCAGCAAAAGGGAAACAAAAGCAAGAGTGGCAACAAAATGCTAACAAGCGGCTTAAGACAAATAATTCAACTGCTAAATAGTATCTAAAATGTCCTAAATGTGGAAAAATGTATGGAGGAGAATGTCGATATGGTACCTTTAATTGCTACATATGTGAAAAACCTGGTTACATTGCTGCAAATTGTGGAGCTAAGCCTAATGGTCAGAAGAAGACTTAAGGAAGGGTGTTTGCAATGACAACAGAAGATGTTGAAGAAGATCCTACTGTTGTGGCAAGTACACTCTTCATTTCTAGAATGATAGCTCATGTATTGATAGATTCAGGTTCTACTCATTCATTTGCATCTCCCGCATTTGCTAATAAATTGGGTAAAGTACCAGAGATATTAAAAAGTAAGTTTAGTGTAGTTTTACCATCTGGAGAGGTGTTAAGGTCTAATAAGGAGTTGAGATCTTGTTTGGTTATGATAAATGGGAGAGAGATGTCTGTGAATTTAATTGTTTTGGATATGAAAGATTTTGATGTGATTCTTGGTATGGATTGGTTATCTAAGCATATAGCCACCATAGATTGTCATCAAAAGCCAGTTATTTTTAGACCTCAAGAGGGGCATCAATTCCTTTTCAGTGGAAGGTCAAAGAATGTCTCTTTTTCAATCATTTATGCAATGAAGGCAAGAAAAATGATTTGTAAAGGCTGTATTGGTTTCTTGGCCTCAGTAGTTGATACTTCAGTTCGGGATGAGCTAAAACCTAAAGATGTGCCAGTTGTTAGAGAGTATTTGGAAGTTTTTCCTGAAGATCTTCCTAGTCTTCCTCTGGATCGAGAGATAGAATTTGTCAATGATATTGTTCTAGGAACAACTCCAATTTCTAATGCACTTTATCGTATGGCACCATCAGAATTGAAAGAGTTGAAGATTCAATTTCAAGAATTGTTGGACAAAAGATTTATTCGTCCAAGTTTTTCTCCATAAGGTGCACTAGTTCTTTTTAATTTTTCGACTTCATGGGATAAAAAGTGGTTTCAACTTTCTTGAAGGCCTCTAATGTTCTATCTTGACTTGCTGACAAGTGAGACATTTCTGAACATACTTTGCTACTTTGTACTTCATCTTTAGCCACCAAAAATGGCGTCTCAAATCTTTATACATTTTAGTGCTTCCTAGATGAACTGAGTAAGGAGATGAATAAGCCTCATCTAAAATATCCTTATTCAATTCCTTAATTTTAGGCACACACAGGCTATTACCACAAAAGATCACATCCTCATCAGATACTTGAAAGTCATTGTTTTTGCCAGTTTGGACCTTCTTTTTCATACACACCAAATAAGGATCTGAATCTTGACTTTGCTTAATCTTATCGATGATACTTGGCTGCAACATTAAAGCTGAAAGCTTAGCCTTTGTTTCTCGAGAAACCACTTAAATTTCTTTTTCTCAAACAGAACTGGTACACCCCATGGAGAAAAACTTGGACAAATAAAACCTTTGTCCAACAATTCTTGAAGTTGAATCTTCAACTCTTTCAATTTTGATGGCGCCATATGATAAGGTGCTTTAGAAATAAGAGCTATTCCCGGAACAACATCAATGACAAATTCTATCTCTCGATCCGGAGGAAGACTAGGAAGATCTTCAGGAAAAACTTCTAAATACTCCCCAACAACTGGCACATCTTCAAGTTTTAGCTCATTTTGAATTGAAGTATCAACTACCGAGGCCAAGAAACCAATACAGCCTTTACAAATCATTTTTCTTGCCTTCATTACAAAAATGATTGAAAAAGAGACATTCTTTGACCTTCCACTCAAAAGGAATTGATGTCCCTCTTGAGATCTAAAAGTAACTGCCTTTTGATGGCAATCGATGGTGGCTTTATGCTTATATAACCAATCCATATGAAGAATCACATCAAAATCTTTCATATCCAAAACGATTACATTCACAGACATCTCTCTCCCATTTATCACAACTAAACAAGATCTCAGCACTTTATTAGACCTTAACACCTCTCCAGAAGGTAAAACTACACTAAACTCACTTTTTAATATCTCTAGTACTTTACCCAATTTATTAGCAAATACAGGAGATGCAAATGAATGAGTAGAACTGAATCTAACAATACGTGACCTATCATTTCAGAAATGAAGAGTGTACATGCCCCAACAGCAGGATCTTCTTCAGCATCTTCTGCCGTCATTGCAAACACCCTTCCTTGAGTCTTCTTCTGACCATTGGGCTTAGCTACACCAGGTTTTCCACAAGTGTAGCAATTAAAGGTACCATATCGACATTCTCCTCCATGCATTTTCCCACATTTAGGACATTTTGGATATTCCTTAGCAGTTGAATTATCTGTCTTAAGCTGCTTGTTAGCAATTTGTTGCCACTTTTGCTTCTGTTTCCCTTTTGTTGCAGTTATTCTTGGTTTCCACTAGCTATTCTTAGCAGCATAAGTAGCTTTATTCTCCAATTCTCTTCTCTTAATACCCTTCTCAGATATCATAGCCAGTTCAACTGCTTCGCTGAACGACTGAGGCCTCGACATGCTCACATCCTTGTGGATAGTTGCTTTCAAACCCTTAATGAAGAAGTTCATCTTTTCTATGTCATTACCTATTATCCATGGGACAAATCTTAAAAGTCCTTCAAATTTAATGACATAGTCATCAACAGTCATAGTACCCTGTGCTAATCCCACAAACTCAGGTACTTTACTTTTCTTTACTTCCTCAGTGAAGTATTTGTTGTAAAACAGTTCTTTGAAATCATTATGGGTAAGGTTGGTAGCAGCTGGAGTCAACTTAATAGATGCTCACCAATGTCTAACATTATTCTTTGGCAATTGAATAGCACAGGAAACTCGTTGATCTTCCATAACCATGTAGTCAAAGATACTTTCTATAGAATTTATCCACTCTTCAGTAATTAGTGGATCAGGTCAACCTTGAAAATCATCAGGACGTTGCTTCCTAAAACGCTCATAAAGAAGTTCCAAATTATCTTGTCTTTGCTGTCAAGGAGGAGGTGGAGGCTAATTTGCACGATGGGCGCCTTGTTGTGCCATCATGTTATGAAACTGCTCTATTTGTTGCTGAAAATGTTGAGCTTGCATTTGCATTGTTGTGTCATAAACTCATTTTGTTGTCTCTGTTGATCAGCATGTTGCTGAATTAATGCAGTTAATCCAGCAAACATTTGAGCTATGTCGACGTTCGGGGATCTCTAGCATATCTTTTAAAAGGCATTCTACTACACCTATTTCTAACCTTTAGGTTTAAGCCAATAATAATAAATATACTTCACTGTAAATGCAATATAAAAGATAAAGATATTATTCTATACATTGAAAATCATAAACATTACTGATTGGCTGAGTTTTTTATCCAACCACTTGTCTATATGTACTTTGATGTCTTCAGAATCATTAAACACTAGGCTCTGATACCAAAACTGTAACGCCCCCAACACTAAACCGGTCTAAGGCCGAATTTAGCGAGGTAGTGCTACTTAAAACATACTTTCTATACTTAAAACAATATCATAGATGCAGAAACTTATAGTTGATTTTATCATAAGATTTTCATAAATATTTTTGAACAAAATGAGTCAGTGTGCAAAATGATTACAACCACAAATTTTAAACATTAAATAGTTATTCAAACTAGACATAATAACAAAAAGAAAATATTTTGGGCCCATATATTGTTTGGAAATACATAAAAACAAGATGCGAGATGTAAGACATGAAATACTCAGCCAACCTTGAAAATCATTTTTTACTTTTCAATAACAACATCATCTGCATCACAAGGTAAAACTAATGAGCAAAAACTCAGTAAGTAGATTTCAAATAAAATAAATATCTAAAATCTCCATGGCTAAAATCTCTTTGTTAAACATTGTTCATAAACTTTCATACTTATTTTTAGTTTAGGTATGATATAGAATTTCGGTTCGAAGTAAGCCTCTCTATACAAGTCTTTCTCTAATTTTAGCCAATTCTTTTCTCTTAAACACTAAGCGAGATTTTAAATCCTCCCCCTAAAAAAAAAAAAAGTTTAATCCTCCATTCAGTAGTCACTATTAGCACATACAAATACAAAATGGAGTTCTCCCCTTCAAAAAAAAAAAAAAAAAGAAATAAAGAAAGAAAATGGAGTTCTATGATGAAGTTTTAACTCATTCCATGGCATGATGCATAAAAATGTTCCAAGACACAGGAGCAACTCACATCACTTGTAAGACACCTATATTTCCAAGGAAAAATCCAATAACTGATCATTCCCTTTGATTTATGGTCCAAACTTCCAAAAAAAAAAAAAAAAAATCCAAGGCATTATTTCCCCAGTGAATCAATTGGATGGCTTTGCGGCCAAAATCTTAGAAAGTTCCTTTATTATAGGCTTCTCTTTAATATCTTCCTCCCTTTCCAAATGCCATCTCTTTGACATATTTTCGGCCTGAAATTAGAAGCTGAAGTTAGTATGTGATAAAACAAAGTTTCCAAGGGAGGGGGAAAAAAAGGAAGAAGAAGCAATCCATCCTTGATGATTTGATATACCCAATCTCTTAAAGGAAGTAGTTGCTTCTTAAACACCTCAAGTTTTGGCTCTATGAGGTCTCGTCCTTTAGTTCGGATATCATCACTCTGTTAAAATGTATCAAAATTCAAAACCCCTTCTGTTAAGTGTTTTCCTTTGTAATTCTAACACAAAATTGAGGACCAGAAAGCAGAATATAACATCTCTTAACACTAAGGTGTTGATCAACAGAAAAAAAGTATAACTCGTGCAACTACATCACTTAGTACATCATAGAAGATAGAAGATTGGTAAAAAACCAGGGTGAAATAATGCCAAAACAAAGAATAAAAATGCATAGTATGAGACAAGAAGTTCAAAGAGAAAATTGTATGATAATAAATGGTGCTTGAATAGAAAGCATGAAAGTGCGTATTGGTCTCTGAGCAGCTAATAAACATGCGTAACTGGGATTTTAAAAATCAGTATGTGACATCTTTCTTGCAGCATGATCAATAACAAGGGCAAGGTTATCACATCAATTGAAACCATAAATAAGCCATGCCAATTTTGGAATTCATAGCCATTTATGAGTCTGAAATTCCGTAATTACCTACCTACCAACCAGCTATGTACACCCTAGACTTAAGTATGGATTTTTGATTATCAGTAAATCACTCTAGTCACCTAACTTATGAACATCAAGATATGACATGGTCAAGAGAATTTGTATTTATTATTTATTATTATTATTATTATTTGGGTCCGGCTAATGCATTGTAATAGATTTCAGACCATAAACCACGGATCCAACAAATTCGGTGCCTCGTACACAGCAAACTTCCATAGTTCAATCAATAATTATTAAAGACTTTAAACAACCAAAATAAATTTCTTCCCCCGGCATCATATCACAAAGCTCTCTCTTTACATTGTTAATTGATGGCTATTAAAGGAAAATACACATTCAAAAGAACAATAAAAAAGTCAGACAAGCAACTGGTCACACCATGGGCCTACGCATTTATTCATTTATGCGTCCTATCTTATTTACTAACAAATTATGGCATATAGATGTAAAATATACGACAGCTGAGTTTATAAATATTTTCAATAAGAAAAAGGGAAAAAAATAGGAGGCCCCAACAGTACAATCTATCAAATCTGATCAGGTGCAATGATTTTTCATGCATTGGATGATGGCCCAAAAAAGATTTGAACCATTTAAATTTTTTTATTGTTGGATTTCACTTGACAAAAGCAGCTCAAGTTTCAACGTTCGAAATTAATTTTTCCATCTCCAATACCTGCTAAGTGATACATTGCTTATACGATACCATGGTTCTGACCAAAAAAATAGAAAAATATGTACTTACGCTTTGCAACTCAAGTTTGGACACTGCCATTCCAAATATTAAAGTGGCACCACCAAACACTAGTGCAGTAGCAACAGCAAAAGCTTTTCCAACTACCAAATATTAAAAGAAAACAACATAAAAGAAAGGAATTAGAAAAAAACTTGAGCTTTGATTTTTTGCCTGGATAAAAAAGGAAAAGGTCATGATTGCCCAAAATCATGACAAACAAGTTTGTAATTGCGTCGCAGGGAAAAAAACATGAAGGCAAAGCCAAAACAATAAGAAACAACTATCAATCAGAACAATAATAGGCTTAACCAAACGGATTATGCGAACTAAACAAGTACTTGAGACACATTTTGGGCATACTTTGTGCTAACCCTTCAGCTGCAGCCTTCAAATTCTCGGCATTTACAGGGGGATCACGATCTTTGCGCAAATCGTTAGCCGTTGACGCCGAGATTGAATTCTTCGCTTGCGGCAGTTGCCACCTGCACTAATTGCCTACCACATTATGCAAACAAATAAAGTTCACCGCAGCAATCCGTCTTAAAATTCAACCTAACTTAGCTACATTATCCAACACGAGACAATTTTATGATAAAATCCAAAACATATTAAAGGCTCAAGAGGTGCAAATTGATGAATTGGAGAACTCAATTCTAAGCTTTCACTTATTAAATGACCTAAATAGTGGATTTCTATTAAATTCCCATTCAAACAAGACTCTGCGTCTGCAATCAAATTTGAAACTATAAAAGATTCTCAAAATCTACATTTTTCTTCGTGCGAACCAAAAATAAACAATTGAGAGAGAGAGAGAGAGAGAGAGAGAGAGAGAGAGAGAGAGAGAGAGAGAGCCTGTGGGGCCAAGCTTTCACTTATTAAATGACCTAAATAGTGGATTTTCTATTAAATTCCCATTCAAACAAGACTCTGCGTCTGCGATCAAATTTGAACACATTTGAAACTATAAAAGATTCTCAAAATCTTCATTTTTCTTCGTGCGAACCAAACAAAAATTAGAAATAAACAATTGAGAGAGAGAGAGAGAGAAAACCTTTTGGGGCCAAAGGTGACCTGAGGCATAGAAAGGTAAGCCCTGAGGGGATTGAGAGCCTGGGCATTGACGGAAGCGCCGTTGCTGCTGGGATCCCCATTTCGAAGCTGCGTAAATGGCGGACGGCGAGGAATTAGACGTCTCGTGGAAGAGCTTGGAGGGGAGAGAGTGGCGTAAGACCTCGGGAAGCACGTCGCCTTGGGATTCGTGCTCAGCAGCCGGAGACGAAGAAGGTTGAGTTGGCGATGGCGGTTTCTTGAGACGGCTCACTGCCTGTTTGGATTCCTGGAAAAAGTACGCCCCTTCTTTCCCGGCTAATCTTCCCGCGAGAAAACTCATCCCTTCCTTTTGATTCTTCTTTTCTCGTCAATTGGTGGTGATCTGTACGACTACGGACTACGTTTCCGGCTTAAGGTTGAGTTTGGTTGCAACGCCTTTGTCTTCTCTTCGTGTTTTATTTATTTATTTGACTTTTTCTTTAATTTGGAAGTGTGGAATTATGGTTCATATTCGCTCTGAAAAAGCACTATATCAAAAAAAAAAAAAAAAAATTAAATTTAAATTTTTATAAAAAAAAAATACTATAATAAAAATTTAAATTGTGATTCAAATTAATAAAATAAACGAAATTTAAATACATCTATTTATATTATGTATTTATCTACACGAGAAATATTAACACAACTCTTTGTGTTATTTTTTTTACTTTCTATATTAATTATTTAACACATAAATTTTATTATTTATTTAAATAATAATATATCATGTTAATATAATTCACGTAAAAAATAATAAATACAAAAAATAATAATAAAAAAAATGATGTTAATAATTCTCCTATCTACGTTACTATGAGAGAATCCATTTCTTCTCGATAATTTAAATGAGAGGAATGTGCGAATATTGACAAGAAGTTTTTTCTCACTTTATTTAGCGAAATGTTTTTTTTTTCCTTTTACTTTTTTGAGTTTTTTTTTCCTTACGTTGTCTTTAGCTTCTTTTTTTTTCGCTTTTGTTTTTATTTTTTTTCCTCTCTTTCCTCTTTTTTTTTTGTTAATAATTTGTATAACTATTTGTTTGTTTAAAAAAAATTTCGCGCCTGCATTCTTATGCACAAAGAAATTATACTGTTACACCACGGTCGAGGATCGACCGTTCCTTTGGGTGACAAGCACCGAGGCCTCCTTGTCGAGGGTCGGTTGCTAATGCCGAAGGAACGGGTGTGGCTAGAGTGCCCTTTAGACGTCGAGAATTCACGTATGCTCGAGAGCCCTGCCCAGGTGGCGAGGGCCACGACGTCGAGACATCAACCCGGTCAAATCCGCTGTCAGTCCAGGGACAGATACACTGTATCAACTACCGCCACTGTTGAAGTCAGGAACCCAGGTGTTGGTTAAGAGTGGTTAGCCTGACCGGGAGGCAGTAATCATGAAAATCCAGCTGCCAAATTCCCAAATTAAGGGATAGAGGATGATTTCCTCGGGAAATGCAGAAGGGGTCTCTCATATGTACAAGGCCTATAAATAGAGCCATGAGAACTCATTAAGTTTTTTTTTACTCTCACTTTTAGACTACTACAGAAAGCTTGTAATCTACAATATATTAGTGCATGCACAAGTGGATGTAGGCCAAGAATTTTAGCCAAACCACTATAAACTCTTGTCTCATTTACTTATTCAACATCATTAATCCCTAATTAATATGTGAGAGATTACTGCGATTGTTCTCGGAGAGTTAATTTCTTGTTGACTGAAATTCACCATCAACAATTGGCGTTAGAAGGAGGGTATTCGACCCGGAAATCAATCCAGCAATAAGCAGTGAAGATGGCTCCTCCGAGAAAGACCCGCATCGTGACGGCAACCCAGAAAAGCCAAAAAGGCCAAAACTCGGCCCTCGGAGGAAGGAATCCAGCAAATCTGCCCAACCGCGGCCAGGAACCGACGGGGGTACGACCTAACCGCGGGGCGCATCCCCAAGCCGCTGGAAACCCCCAGACCGCATTGACCAGCTCCAAAGGCAGGTTGAAACCCTTGCTTTGGCTGTAGAGAGGATGGCCATAGCCCTCGCCGGACGGGAACAAAGGCCAGATTCAATGCCTCCGTTAGAGGATGCGCCGATGAACCCGGTGAACGCCGCCGTTGGGAACTAAGCAATTGGTGACCGACGTGGTGACGCCGAGGGGGTTGGTGACAGTGGGGCCAACAACCCTCGTCCAGCCAGGTAGAACATATTTGTGGGGAGCAGGCAATGAGCGGCCAGGAGAGGGCCAAGGTCCAGACAACGAATGACAACGAGGTACCTCATCGACCGCAGGAGAACGCGAACCGAAGGGATGCGGTCCCAGTAGAATCCTCGACCGTGTGCGGAGGAGACCTGAGGGTACGTCTGAACGTTTGACGCGAGCGAGACGTGCAGCGGACCAGAGAAGAAGAGCTCGCGGCTGAGAAGATGACAAGACTGGAAAAACAAATAGGGAGTCGACTGAACAACTTTGAGCAAGTCGTGGGGAAGGTGGCTGAGGCCGTGAACGTCGACGCCAAGATGTATACGTCTCACGACCACCCCTTCACAGAGAACATCATCCAGGTGCCATTGCCTGACAAGTACAAGCCGCCACCTATCCCATTATCCGACGACCACCTGGAAGTATACACGGGGCACATGGTACTACACGGGTACCCTGAGGAGGTCATGTGCCGCGCGTTCAGAAACCATCTTTCTGACTCTGCCAAGAGGTGGTTTAGGTTCCTAAAACTGAACTCCATAACCAGCTGGGATGACTTGAAGAACGTCTTCCTGACTCAGTTCATAGGTGTCAAAAAGTACATCCCACCGAAGCAAAACCTGTCAAGGGTGTACTAGGGACCAAACGAGTCCCTAAAAGATTAGATAGCCCGGTTTGGGGAATAAGTGGCCACCACCGGGGGGATCTCCGACGAGGTAGCCTTGATAGGGGCCCTATTGAGCATGAAGAAGGACATCCCGTACAGCACGGACCTCGACCGGAGACCACCCCAGACCTACCAAGAATTCCTGGCAAGGGCCCAGGGATTCATTAACGCATAGGAGGCCAAAAAGGCCTTAAAAAGTAAGGTCGTAGCTCCCACTAAAGAAGAAGTGGGATAGCCGAGCCACTAAAACAACGACAAGAAGCGCCGAGCTAACCCTTAGGTGCAAACTGAGCAAAGGTACAACCTGGCTCTGAACAATAGGGGTGGCAACGCCTCGATGAGTCAAGGGGACACCAAGCGAGCCAAGCCGCAAAAATATGACGCCTACACCCCATTAACCATGGGGATCGAGGACGTCTATCATGAGATCAGTCACCTCCTGCGTCGCCCACCGTCGCTAAAGTCCGACCCAAGACGGAGAAACCAAAATAAGTATTGCAGGTTTCACGGCGAGAGCGGATACACGACCAACAAATGCTTTGACCTAAGGGATGAGGTCGAGAGGTTGATATGGGAAGGGAGGCTCAGTGAGTACCGAGCCGACCGACAGGGCAACAATACTAGGAGGAACAACGATTGACGAGAGGATCAAAGACAAAACTAACCCCCTGAACCCGTCAGCGTGATAAGGACGATCTTTGGAGGGCCTTACCTTGGCGGCGCCTCTCGCTGTACACAGAAAGAATACGCAAGAGAAGTGAAAGTAAAATTCAACCAGAGGATTATGAGTATGTCCGGTAGGGAGTCAAAGGCCTCAAGGTTTGGAGAGGCCGAGATAACGTTTTCAGAAACGGATGCAAATGAGGCGCACTTCCCCCAAAGCGACGCTCTAGTGGTGGAGGCCATGATCGGTAACCACACGGTTTGCTGCATCCTGGTGAACAACGACAGCTCGATGGACATCCTGTACACCGATTACCTTGACAAGATGAGGATCCCTCGGGCGAGACTGCAGAACAGCCCGCAACCACTGTACGACTTCACAGGGGATTGCGTCGTCCTCGAGGGAATGATAGAATTCCAATGACAATTGGTGACTGACCACACACTTCGACCGTTATGTCCCAGTTCTTGGTAGTGAAGGGAGCCAACCAATACAACGCAGTCATAGGGCGACCGACGCTGATGGCATTGAAAGCAGTCACGTCGATCTATCATCAAACAATGAAGTTCCCGACCCCAAGCGGAGTCGGAAGGGTCAGAGGGAACTAGTACGAGTTGAGACTCACATATGCTGAGACAGTTCGCCACTACGCCGAGCCGGGGTAGACCAGAAGGGAGATGAGGGTTGTGGTGACCAAAGCAGAAGACATCGACCTAGACCTACGACTCTCAGACGAAGAGACGGGAACAAGGCCAGTCGAGGAATTGATAGAGGTCCCCATTGACGAGAAGGAGCCTACAAGAAAATTGAAGGTAGGCTCAGAACTTAAAGAGCATAATCGGGAAGAACTGGTAGCATTCCTCAGGGTAACCTTGATGTGTTTGCCTGGACCCACGAAGACATGGAGGTGATCAGCCCAGACATAATGAGCCACAAGCTCAATATAGATGAAAAATATTTCCCAAAGAGGCAAAAGCGTCGATCAATGAACACCGAGAGATATGCAGCTCTACGGGATGAGGTCGACAAACTAATAAGAAATGACTTCATCCGAGAAGTCCTGTACCCCGAGTGGGCTTCAAACCTTGTACTGGTGTTAAAGCCCAATGGGAAGTGGCAGACCTGTGTCGACTTCAACGACTTAAACAAAGCCTGCCCGAAAGACAACTTTCCGCTCCTAAGGATAGATCAGCTGGTTGACGCCACAACGGGGCACAAACTCCTTAGTTTTATAGACGCCTATTCTGGCTACAACCAAATACTGATGTTCCACCGCGACGAGAAACATACATCGTTCATCACTGACAGGGACTTGTATTGTTACACGGTCATACCCTTTGGCCTTAGAAACGCGGGAGCAATATATCAGCACTTGGTCAACAAGATGTTCGCGGACCAGATAGGTAAAACGATGGAGGTTTATGTGGACGGCATGCTGGTGAAGAGCAGGAGGTTCGAAGATTATGTGGAAGACCTCAGGGGAATGTTCGACGTACTGCAGAAGTACAAGATGAAGCTGAATCCTTTCAAGTGTGCATAGTTTTATGGTGAGCAGTCGAGGAATTAAAGTTAATCCTGAAAAAGTGCAAGCGTTCATCAACATGAAATCGCCACGAAAACTGAAAGAAGTCTAGAAGCTAACAGGTTGCATTGCCGCACTCAATAGATTCATTTCAAAATCTAAGGACAAGTGCGTACCGTTCTTTGACACCCTGAGAGGGAGCAAGCTGTTTCATTGGACGGAGGAGTGCGAACACGCGTTCCGACAGTTAAAGGAACACCTTGGGAAGCCACCCCTACTGTCCAAGCCTACGGACGGAGAGGTACTGAGCCTATTCCTAGCGGTCTTTGAACACGCCGTTAGTTCGGTGTTGGTCCGCGAAGAGAA